GTGTGGTACAACAAGGTCGAGGACGGGGCGGCATGGCGCATGAGGAAATGGCACAGGCAGAAGGCGGAAGCGTCCGCGAAGCACCAGCGCGCGAGGGAAGCAGAAGCAGAGAGTACGGCCATCTCAGGACCGAAGAGAAAGAAGAGAGTCGGGGAAGCGGCGGTGGGGGGAAGAAACGGCGACCGGGCAATGCTGAAGCGAGTAGGGCGGCCAAGGCAGCACGTGTGGCGAACTTTTTTTTCTTTCTCCCATCATTGCACTTNGGGTGCACTCGTCCTAGATGATCCCACTCACCTCATTGGCCGCCCTGGTCCCCATCTCCTCCATGTCCACTAGGTGCCCAACGCGTAGCGTACAAGTGCATGAGCGTGCGATATTTGTGACAGGGGGCACTACAGAGTTCTTTTGCTGTTTGTTTTTCTCCCATCATTGGACTCTGTCGTCTCCCCCTCTGGCCCCTATCCTCCACTTCTACTAGCTAGACGACCCAACCGGGGTCACATAGGAGGGGGGGGCTGGGCCCCCTCCTGCGGTTCCTGCCTGACTGAGGTATTTTTATCGCGAGAAGGTTACGGCAATCCCTTCCCTCGCGACTTACGAAGTCGATTATGGTTTACTAACAACGAGCTTTGCAGCGCGTCGCTTTCATCCTAGACCAGGATTTATTTAGTGAGAAAAAAAATCACTCTGCCGGGACTCGAATCCATGACCCGGCCCTAAGCAGGCTGCGAGGTTACCCACTAGACCACCGGGGCGACCTATGTACCCGGCTGATGTTGTTGCGCCCTGTTTCCCTCCCTGCTGTATGCTATACTCCTTTATGTATGTCCCTTGTATTGCCTTCGGCCTCTGTGCTGTGTTTCTTTTTTCATGACCTCCCTGCCTACTCTGCTGTGTTGGGTACATTGACCTCGCTTTTGCTGTTGCTTTTGGTTTTGGACGTCTGACTGTCTCCCCATCTGCCGCCTCTTTGTCCTGTTTGCTCCGTTACTCCCATGCCCTGGTGCGTAGTGCCTGGTGCTGGTACGTTACTCTTTGATTTTTTCTTTATTTAGGCGGGTGTGGGAAGCGTCCTCCTTCATTTTTGTTTTTGTTTTATTTTGAGCGGTTTCCGAGGGCTCTTTTCTCGAACGGTCGGTGCGGTACCTGTTCTTTTCTTTCTATCATTTGGTTTTCTTTTTCCGAGTGGTTTGTACCCTATTTTTGTTTTGTTTCCCCGCGACGTCGAATGTGCCGGGTTTTGAGACCACGGGCTCCCAATTTTTTATGGACAATAGAGCTAATGTGAGAAACAACAACAACAACTGTTCTCTTCCACCTCCAGGAGCTCACAGGTTCATTGATAAATACATGCCGTCAGCCTATCGTACGCATATATGGGATTCCGGGTACATATATATCCCATGATGTATGGAGCCCTCTACTCTGGGTGAGCGGAGAGTCTGGGGTTGTGGTGGCTATGTCCTGACACCGAAGGTTGGCTATTTCCTTTGGTGCAATGTGGCGAGGAATGCCAAGCGTGACCGAGCGAACTCAGTCAGGCTAGGGTGGTGCGGAGAGTGGACGAGCCTTCGTGGACCCATTCTCCCATTATCCTAAGGATCCATCTGTGAGTCTCTGGTGTAGCTGTACGTACGTCATACTCGAGGACCCCTGTCCAATTGTTCCTCCGCTTGCTCTGCGGATCCTTCCGTGCGGTCCGCGCACATCCGCATGGCACTGTCTCTCACTTCCCGAAAAATGCCATTTTTATTATTTTGTCGCCGCTCAAAGGCCGGGTCTTGGAGGTGGAACTCTCCCCCTCCCTCCCGGCCCTTGAGCCTACTAAGGAATCCACACGCTTCCCTAAGTAATAACAACCAGGCTGACCACATTCCGCTGGTCGCCCAGCTTGGACACAAACCTCCATGCCTTTCCATGCTTTGCTCAAGCCTTCGCTTACGCCCGAGCACGCTTACCTCGGCTTAACGGTCGTTCCATGTCCTGCTCTTTAGCCGGAGACACGCTTACCTTGACCACACTCTTCTCATTATTCAACCTTTCCATGCCCTGCTCAAGTCTAGAACATGCTTTCCGACCTTCTGATCTTCCCATGTCTCGCTCTCGCCAACAACATGCTTACCTCGGCTCACCCGGTCGTTCCATGCCCTGCTGCTCCGCAGCCAGAGACACGCTTACCTTGACCCTACTTGTACACCATCATGTGCCTTCCCATGCCCTGCTTCAGCCTAGAACATGCTACCCATGTCTAACTTCCGCCCGACACACGCTTACCTCGGCTAAAAAAAAAAAACGAACCGACGATGCTCTTGCTCTCTTCCTCTGTCTGTCTCCTCCCTTCCGTACACTCGCTTCCTTCTTCTTCCTCCTTTGTCTCTCTTCTACTCCTCCTCTTATTTGCTTGTCGTCTTGCTCTTTCTTTCAGATGTCTCTTCTGTCGTGAGCAAGGTATCTTTCTTTCCATTTTCGTTGATTTTCGTTTTACATACCTACCTATCAATTATCTCTTACCTACGGTGCCCCCTTTTGATCTTTCTAACCGTTCTGACAAAACACCAGGTTGTACCACAACCTTCCACTTTTGTCTCTCACTTCCCGAAAAATGTCATTTTTATTATTATGTCGCCGCGCAAAGGCCGTGTCTTGGAGGTGGAACTCCCCCCCTCCCTCCCGGCCCTTAAGCCTACTAACGAATCCACACTCTTTCTTAAGTAATAAGAACCAGGCTGACCACATTCCGCTGGTCGCCCAGCTTTGACACAAACCTCCCCATCACGAAGTCTTGTTCTTGTTACTTCTGGATCCCTCTTCACGATTTCTTCCCCATTCCGTCCCTTGCCCCGGTTGTCTCTTAAATACCCCTTCACCTTCTTCCAACACCGCCGACACCCATGCCGGAACTTGCATGTTCGCCCTCACGTATGCCATGAATGCGTTCGACGACAACCTCCCTTCTTTCTTTATCACCGCCTCCGGTACCCCTTTCGCGGCCAGCCTCGTCGCCCCACCTATCCTTCCGAATGTAACGCAAACTCTTCCGGTTTTAACTTCGCCCCTGCCCCTTTCCCTTCCTTCGACCACACCTTTGACACCGCTCTTATCCCCTTCCTCATTTGTTCTGTCGCCTTCCCTCTCTGCCATACCTCCCACTTCCCTTTCCTTCTGTGTACCATCAATGGTGCCGTTGCACTTAATCCTTCACTTCCATAAATCCCGAATAGTGCCAACATCGATTCCACCGCTCCGTTCGCCCTCCCCCTCCCCCTGACCATCACCGCTCCTTTCCTCCCTTGGTCTCCCTTCGAGCCTCTCACCTGCACTTCTATCTTATCTGCTCTCAACCTCTCCTGTCCTCCAGCTGCTTATCGCCCTCGAAGAATGCTACGCCCACCCCGCACAGGCATTACACGTCGTGTTTTTTTCCATCCTTTTCCGCAAACAACCCGACGCACTCAACATCAGCAGGTATGTCAATGCCAACCGATCCATAGCACTCTTCTCCCTGCACCCTCACCGCCAACACTCTGCTGCATTGCACTCAACATTCCCCATGTCAACGGTTCCCTCAATCTTGCTTGTGTACCTTTCTCCACGTGCCCTCTCTTAATACCTTGCGCTACCCCTTTGATGCACGGGTTACTCAACGGCAAAGACATGTTCTGAAACTGTTGATAGAAGTTTATTGCCACGAGCTTCCCCATGATCGTCGAATCCCTGTTTCCAAGAAATGCACTACAGTAAGCCATGTACTCCGCCAGCTCCTCCACTATCTCCCCTTCCTCCGACCCCTTCGCAATCCATGGGCTCTTCTGCACTCGTTCCCTCCACTTTATCCACATGTTCCAAGCTCCCGTGTAAGTTTTTCTAGTCGACGCTGCAACTCTTCCAAGTGCGTAGCTTCGCGCAAAATCTCTGCACATAGCTGCTGCTCCTCGGCCTTCAGCTCCTGCACCTGCCAACGTGTT